TTAACATTTTGTATTATATAGAACAATTTTTAGTTTAGCCCTTATATTATGTAAAATGTAATTAATAATTGGGTCTAATTCATAATAGCTCGCTATATTGCCAAAAAGTAGAGATGTTATACGGAATCATATCTTATTGGTTCATTATAGTACGTAAATTGTTTTATTGCTGATGGCGAACTTTGTAATTGGCCCTTATTTACATGAAAATTTTAACTATTTTTTTAATTTATCCGATTAAATTAACAGAAAAATAATTAAGTTGTAGTTTTAAAACAGTGTTTATTACATAGATGCAATGTATTGTTTGTAGTGTAAAATTTTTACATTTTATTTTATTATATAATCCGAGTTCGTTTCTCAGCAAGGTACGTCTAAAGCCAATATTTCCATGCCATCCTTATCGAGATGCGATGAGTTGCCATCAGTTAGATCAAGAACAGTAGGTAATTACATAATGTCTTCAATACATTCAGAGAAAAGCGACGTAGACCTCAGTGATGACGATCCACTTACAAACAAGAGCATTTTCGTCGACGTCCACGGATCACAGCAACTCTAACTTCGATTGATACAAACAATGTAACTATGACAAATGATAACATTCAAAGACAATCCAGAAAACGTAAAGCAGATCCAACCAAATAGATACAAAACACGCAAAAAATGAAACGAAACTTGGGTCAAAGCTATGTAGCTATACATTCGGAGAAATTGGTTCCTGCACGTAATATGCAACCACCTTGTGTCCAAAAATGTAGATTAAAATGCAGTGAGCGAATCGATGATTCGAAAAGGTTGAAATTATTTAGTGCATTTTGGGCATTAGGGGATAGACAATTACAAGGAATGTATGTTTTGTCTAATAGCGCACAGATTACACCTAGGTACAAGTATACCAATGCCGAAAAACCACGAAATCCAAACCATGCATTCTATTTTTCCGTAGACAACGAAAGAGTTAGGGTATGCAAAAGCTTTTTTATTAATACTATTGATATTTCTCATAAGATGATTCGAAATGTACATGAAGATAATAGAAAAACTGGGCTTCATAAAGGATGACCAACGCGGCAAACACAATAGTCATAAAAGTGTAAGTGATGAGCTTATAAATGCCATCACCAACTTCATCAACCATATACCCCGCATTGAGTCACATTATCTAAGAGCATCTACCTCTAGAGAGTACATCAGAAGTGGTAAAAGTATTGCAGAGCTCTTTAGAGATTTTGAAGTACTGCAAGAGGAAAGGTCTCGCCCGGCTGGACTATATCACACGTTTTATGAAATTTTTAACACAAAATTTAACCTTGGCTTTTATCAACCCAAAAAAGATCAATGCGATCTTTGCCTGCAGTTCCAAAATCCTACTGAACCACTAAAACAGAATCTTAGGGATCAATATCATACGCATTTGGAAGAAAAGAAGTTATGCAGGGAGGAAAAAAAGAATGACAGAAAGAACATTGATGACTATTTGTGTATGTTACGATGTACAAGCCATTATGCAAAGTCCTAACGGTGAAACATCAGCATTCTACTACAAATCTAAATTAAATCGTTACAATTTCACTATGACGAAATTAAAAAAAATTCACGAAAACGATGTGTCAACAATGGACATCTCTAAAGGCTATGACAATGTCCATTGTTATTTTTGTGACGAGACTCAAGCGAAAAGAGGCGCTACAGAGATAGAGAGCTGTGTTTTCCATTATTTACAGATTGTGTCTGATAAAGCTGGTGACAGGGAAGTAAATATAACATTTTTTTCGGATAACTGTTGTGGGCAAAACAAAAATAAATATCTCACATGCTTATACTTATACGCTGTTGCCGATCTAAAAAATTTGTCGTCGATAACTCACAAATATCTCATAAAAGGGCACACTCATAACGAAGCTGATAACGTGCATAGTTTGATACAAAAGCAGATAGCTAGAGATAGGAAAACTGGCCCAATATACTCTCCTGTTCAATAAATCTCAGCAATCAAAAGAGCAAGGAAAACTGGTGCTCCATTTATAGTTCACAGTTTAACTTACAATGTTTTTTACGATCTTCAGAAATTACAAGAAAATTGGGGCCATAATTTTAATACAGATGAACAGAAAAATAATCTTGTATGGAATAGTATTAAAGTACTGAAATTTACCAGAAGACCCATTTTCGTTTTATTACAAGTGCTCATATAACGATGAGTTTAAAATAGTTAATGTTCGTGATAAGTGGAAGAGAATGCCAAATATTAAAGAAATAACCATGCAGAAAACGTAACTCCAGGCACTTCCACTTCGTTGTGCTAAAAAGAATGATCTTAAGGATCTTATTAATAAACAATTGATAGATCCATACTATGCGTCTTATTATAACAACATGTTGTCTTAATATTACTAATCTTTGGGATTTCAACATTATTTTGTGTAGACTGAGTACATAGTCAAAGTACAATAATTAAGTTTTGAGACTGAATTTTATTTTTGAAGACTTTATTTTTTAGAATGAATTTTTTTGTTATGTGCAGTTTTCTAAGTTTAGAATGGAGGAATTAATGTTTTTTTGTTATGTATAATTTTTTAAGTTTACTGTGGAGATATTGTGATATACAATTAAGTAATAAGTAAACGACAATGTAAAAATTGAGGAGTTACTACTTGTAAGTTTTATTTGGAATTAAAAAGTTGAACTAATAAATGTGATAATATTAAAGCTATCTTATTATGTTTAACTCTTGTTTTGAATTTTTTTTTAGATTATTGTTATATTTTGCACTGATTAATAAAGTATTACTATTATTTTACCTGATATTTTATTTATAAAACAGAAACAATAAATTCAAACATCGATTGGGATTGGTGATATAGAGTACCATTTACGATTAAAAATTAAACAGTGGCAGGTACACTAATAATATAAGGGATCAAACTTTAATAGTTCCTTATTTCTGTTATGGTTTTTTATACTATACGGGACTAACTCGAAAGTAGTTTTTTCCATTCCTTGTAATTAATAGAATTTATTTATATTATTATTTTTTCCTCATTGTAATTTTTAGTGCAGTTATCAAATAACAAATCTGCCAAATTTCATATTTATAACTTAAATAATAAGCACGTTATTTGAAAAAATAGCTGTAATGTCAGATACCAGAATCTTTAAACGCGATTTCCCACAAATCTACTTTTTTGAATTGTGCCTCTATATTACTGAGGGTGCGATATATATAAATATATATATATATATATATATATATATATATATATATATATATATATATATATATATATATATATATGGGCATCTCGCAATTGCGGGCACTCTAACCTAACCAAATATATTTTCCTCAAGGCACTGCGTCACAGTGTTGCCGTATTTATTTTAGTAAAATATGTATATGAATGCTACAAATATAAATTTACTTTTACGAAATAATAATTTGTGTTATGAGAAGCAACAAATTTTAAATAAGCATAAAACTTGCCGTATTTTTTTTGTAAAATGTATATGAAGGTTTAAAATATAAGTTATTTTTACGAAATTATAATTTGTATTATGAGAAGCTACAAGATTTAAATATATTAAATAATTTTTTTATATCATTTTAATCAGTTGTATTGTATATGCATTTGATGATTATCTTTAATTTAACTGAAATCTTTGAATTTTTATATAATTTCAATGCATTTCTATTATATACGGTAATTTAAATATTACTATTATTTTTTTATATAATTTTAATCAATTTTATTGTATATGCATTTGATTATTATCTTTAAAGTAACTAAAATCTATACTATTAATTTTTATATATCACTTTACTCAACATTTGTATATTATGTGAGAGTATGAAAAAACTGGAGACTTGGCAACTCTGACACCATTTAAGCGAACGTTAAATGTCATATAAATGCTTGGTTAGGTTAGAGTGCCAGCAATTGCGAGATGCCCATATATATATATATATATATATATATATATATATATATATATAATATATATATATATATATATATATATATATATATATATATATATATATATATATATATATATATATATATATATATATATATATATATTATATATATATATATATATATATATATATATTATATATATATATATATATATAATATATATATATATAAATAAGGATCACTCAGATGAGTGGTGGGTTCAATCGGTCAACTAGGTGGAGAAATAAAAGACAAAGTTGATACTACTTCATCTATTTTGAAGACGTTTCGCTATCGAATTCTGATAGCATCATCAGTTCATCTTAAAAAATATATGTAGTTGTCAATGGTATTAAAAAGGTAGTACAAAAACTCAAATAAATGGACATCGTATGGTGATATTGTATAAACAATTAAATAACTAACAACATTTAGAGACTTAGTAAAAATTAGCAAAGCAACAGAACACGTGGTCTAATAAGCATATAATATTTAATCTAATATTAACTAGTGAAAAAGAACTAAGAAAATCATTGATTCACTTCCAACTAAGCAAAAAATTTTATTTTAACTTCATCTTAACTTTTGGTAGCATTATTTAAATTAACTACATTAAGATATAAAAAATATGTATAAAAAAGATATAAAGTTAAGTTACCACTGTTTGCTTGGCACCTGTTGCAGTTGAAAATTATTGCATATATATATATATATATATATATATATATATATATATATATATATATATGCAATAAGTGAGATTAAAATAATATATATTATATATTTATAATTAATTTGAAATGTTATACTTGTCAGCGCCATCTTTATGTTAATAGCGAAAAGGTTGTGTATGTGAGACTAATTACCAGTTCTTTTGTAGCGAAGTCTGCATTTACGAAAGTTGAGAGTATCATACAGGCATCTACATATCAATGTTTTTGTTGTGAGCTGCTGATTTTCGTTTGAACGATGGGAATGTGAGGGTGAGGGTTTGTACTTTGTGCTTATGCCTGAATTCAACTTCAGTCAATCCATTGTGCACGGACAAAATCGCAGTGACGTGACAGATCACAGCTGTAAGTGCATGTGCTCTGGTTTGTTTAATATACTTTATTGGATTTGTTAGTGGAATTTTTAGACTTTTTAGTTATTAACTCGGAACATGTAAAAACTATATTCTGTGATCTCTTCTGTGTTGTGATAATTTAAAAACGAATTTTATTAAACTAAGTGCATTTTCTAAGGTCCTTTGGTGATGAAACATTGAACTCCTGGAGGTAAGTACACTAACATTTCTTTAAACGCTTTTTCCTACAAAAAGCTGCAGTCAACCCATGTTATTAAAGTAAAAGTCATTTTTTGACACACTTTATGCCCCTCAGTTAATAAAACCACTATGCAATAATATCACATTAATTTTTGGTAATGTAATCATAACAAAACCCTTCCTTTCTTTTTATTGGATCGACTTTTACGATCCGTTTCACACCTCTGTTAGGTAAATTAAACTAAAAGTATTTCATAACTGTAATAACCTTAATAACATTAAATAATTACGTTACTAATAACTAGGTAACTATTCATGTCTAGGTAATAAGAATTCATAAGACAATAAAGTATTTCAGTAAATATAATTTTTCAGGACAACATCTATTTAAATGAAAATGTTACAAATTGCTTTCTATATTCAAAATATCTGCTGGAGATTTATTTTGTATTCCCTCAAATATAAATTAAATTTATTTATTTTTTCATTAAGTCTCCCTGTTCTTTTTTATTTACTTAACCATGTACTATTTAATAAAGTCCCTTTATTATATTAATAGTTTTTCCAATGCTTTCTTTACTAATTTTGTGTAGTTCCTTGGCCCATAGCTTTATTTTCCATTTTGTGGTCTTTTAGTGTTTTTAATACATTCCATCTATCTTTTGTATAGGTAGTTTATCTTTGTGTTTTTCCCAATAAATTTTCTAATTAGCACTATTTTTGTTAATCTATTTTTTTCCACCTTTTTGAGCACCCCAACCATCATATTCCCATTGATTTTATATAATATGTTGTTGATTTAAATGTATTGTACATTTTTTTACTACTTACCTCTTTATCAGATCTCCTTCTTTGTCTTTCTGCTATATTTACTAACCTTTATTTAGAATCTATATTATTATAGCCCATATTTTGTTCCACTCAGAAGGTTATTTGTTATGAAAGAAATGGATTCAGTTCCCAACATGGAAAGTTTCCAGTTTAAATGCTTACTTGGTTCTTTCTATAGTGTTACAAAAGTGGATTTTGATCTAGATTCAGGATCTGAATAGTCTAGTACCCAAACTAGGTAAAAAAGTGGATGGATATATTTTTATATATTATTCTTAATGAAGTTTTGAGGGATTTTTATTAGTAATTGACATTGGAGTTCATTAAACAGTTTCTTATTTTCTTGAAAGTGTCACCATCTATAATTATTTTTTTAGCCCTATTTGACTTAAAAAATAATGGGAAACCCAATCTGACTAAATATTCTTTCAAACAATGCCATATTGGTGGTCATAAGTGAGTGAGTCATCCAAACAAGATTGTGTTCATATGTTCTCTGATATTGTTTTCAGGTTTCACATTCACACCAGCTACTGATTTATTCAGCTACCTGCTAGGTAAACATGAGAACTAGTTTTGGCAGTTTGGGTTTATTTGTGATTGTAATGAACCCACTCAGTTAAATATTTGAACTTTGTTTTAAGAAGAATAAATATGAAAGTGTCAAATTACATCCACAAATAAAAATATTTCTGTAGTATAAGTTTGTATATATTTGTATTGTAAATAATACAATATATTTTTATTTATTACTTATCATTTACACAGATTTTTTAATGTTTGTCAGGTTCCTTGTTTTCAGGCTTCCTTTTCCATTATGTGGTCTTTTAGTGTTTGTGTTTATAGTAGTTTCCACCCATCTTTTGTTTGGTCTATCTTTGTGTTTTCCCATTAAGTTTTCTATTTAGTATGATTTTTGTCATCTTGTTGTTTTCCATCAATGTATGTCAATCAATCAATTTCGTTTTTACCTTGTTTTATAGTGTATTTTTATGTATGAGAGAGTAATAAAACAATAAATTATGTATGCAAATTCCTAAACTGTTGATACAGGTGACTCAATGAAAACCAGATATTTGTCAACAAGTTTACAGAAGTATATAGGAAAACAATTTTAAATTGAGTATGACCACCAGGTATAAAGGTTGGAGCAGAATAGAATACAATAGTTGTGAGGGTTACTAATCCCTAAATAAGGTTGCCAGTGTCGGAGTGATGGAGGTTAACAGGTACTAATGAATTTGCAAGAAATGTAAGATGTTTATTTTATTGGTTATTAATAACCAATAAAAGTTTAATAAGTACCTACCTATTTGCAAAATAAAGTTTAATTCTTTAGATAAAATAAAACGTTTTATTTTATCTGAAATAAGTGCATTCCACGAAGTAAGGGTTTCAACAATCAAACATTTAATTCTTTAATTCCAGGAATCTACGACAGTAATTGACTAGATAATTACCTTCTAAACTTATTCCACAGAAAATGTGATAGTGGGTTTTTCCATTTTGTAGGAAGGTCCAAGTGGCGTATATAAAATTCTTAACAGTTCACTAAAAGTAGGTACTTCAGTTGCAAGGTGTAGTTTGTGTATACTAGTATTATGGAAAATTTGGAAGTGCCGTGTAAACGCCGAAAAATTGGTCCTTTAACAGTTAATGAAAAAACATTAATATTTAATTGTTTTAAATCATTTACAGACAAACGTTTATTTGAAAGTGTTGACGAGACCATTGAGTTATTTAGCAGTACACTTGGTGTTGGGAAATCTACGATTTACAGAGTTATTAAAGAAGAGAAATGTGGTAGTTTTCAAATGCCACGTAATGCTCCAGGGAAACCAAAATTTCAAATAGAATATCATTTTAAAGAAGGACTTCAACGGAAAGTGCATGAATTCTTCTTTAGACAAGAATTTCCAACATTGGATAAAGTTCTTGTCTCAGTTCGAGATGATAAGGATTACCCAGAAATGAGTCGAAGTACGTTATGGAAACTTTTAAAAGAAATAGGCTTCCGCTGGAAAAAGAATCCCAGAAAGTCTATTTTATTAGAAAGAAGCGATATTGTCATATGGAGAAGACATTTTCTAAGAACCATAAAGGAAATGAGAAACCAAAAAAGAAAAATATTTTATCTTGATGAAACATGGATCAACGAGGGTCATACACCAAATAAATTTTGGCAGGATGAAACTGTTACAAGTCAAAGGCACGCTTTTGTAAATTACTTATCTACTGGTTTAAACCCACCATCAGGAAAGGGACGCAGGCTGATAATATTACACATTGGCAGTTCAGACGGTTTTGTTGAAGGTGGTTTATTAACTTCTGAATCAACTCGTACCGGTGACTACCATGAAGACATGAACGCTGATGTCTTTCAAGAATGGTTCGAACAAATAATAGATCTTCTTCCTAAGAACTGTGTAATAGTAATGGATAATGCAAGTTATCACTACAGACTTATAGAAGGACTGCCCACAACCAAGTGGTTAAAAAAAGACTTGCAGAATTGGCTGAGTTCAAAAAATATTACGTACCATCCCGGATCTATAAGAAAGGAACTTTATTCGTTGTGTGCCCTTTGTAACGATGAGTCCAAGCCATCACCGTTAAACCAGCGTGCGCGCGAACCAACCCATGAAGTAGGAGGTATTGTCGGTATGTATGTATGTATGTATATTGGTCGGTATTCTGTTATTGTCTGCATTGTACGATCTGGATCTGTGTTCTGTTCTGGTTTGGTATTGTTCTCTCCTTCTTACGCGATTTCTATTTAAGATGTTTGATAAATCAAGGCCCCATCTTGTTATTTCATGCATTCCCAGTACTACTTCTGAAGCTAGGTTTGGTAAAAAATGTAGCTTGGCTTTTCTCCAAACGTTGTCTATGGAACATTTTGCTGTAAAACAGATTTCTATGTTGCTGGTTTTTCCATCTGCCAGCGTGATCTTTAAAGCTTTTCTGTCGCTTTTTGTTCCACATTGTTCCAATATTTTTTTACCTTTTTGTCCTATAAACGAATTTTGGGCTCCTGTGTCTATTAGTGCTTTTAACTTTTTACCGTTGCTGAACGTTATCGTTGTGTGGGGTCGTTGATCTTTATAGTGTGCGTAGCTGGAGGTTGTTAGGGAGGACTCTAAATGCTGACTGGGTTGCCTCCTTCTTGTCCAGTCCTGTTGGAGTTTTCCGGTCGGCTTCTACATTGGCAGTTATTGGAAGTTGTTCCTCGGGTTCCGCAATGGCTGCAGAAGAGTACAGCGATAGCTCTGCAGTTTCTTCTATTGTGGCCTCTGCGGCCGCATTTCCAACAACAAGTCTGTCTGTCGAAATTCTGTATTTTGTTATTACGACTATTTGCCTGTGTCCAGTCACACCTTGTATTGTTTCTGTTATATATTTCTTTTTGGACCATATCATATTCTTCCGCTAGTCTGATGATGTCCTGTGTTGACGATACGTCTTGCCTCTTTATATACAACTTGTATGTCGGGTTCATATTGGTGTATATCCTGTTTAGTTCTTCTTGGTGATTGAATTCACCATGTCTTCTGATCATTGTTTGAATATCAATGATGTAGTCTTTTACACCTTCGTTGTTTCGTTGGAGCCGGTTCCGGATTTGCGCTTCCAGAGATTGCGTGAGAACGGAGGAAACGAAGAAATTGCGGAAATCTTGTTCGAAGTCTTTTAATTCGTTCCAATATTTATTATTGTTTCTGTACCATAGTAATGCTTTCCCGTTTAATGTTTCTGGTAGAGCTTGTAAAACGTGGGTGTCTTGTAGGCCGTAAGCTGTCTGGAGTTCTTTCAACCGTTCTATGAATTCTATTGGGTCTCTTGAACCGTCAAAGTGTAACCCCCATTTGCGTACTATTTCCATCTTTCTTTGTCTGTCTTCCATCTGGTTTTCTTCTTTTTGAGTTGGTGCCTTGATGATCGCAACTAATCTCGCTCTTAGCTCGCTGAAATTCCCTTCCGTCGACTGTTCTCTGTTTGTTAATTCGGCTATAAGTTCGTCTTTCTTTAATAGGTACACCCAACTAACCTTCGACGTTTCCGGAGCGTCTGTCATTTTTGAACTGTGAATCACCCTGTATTTGAATAAAGTTTGAAATGCAGTACTGTCTCATGAAAATAAAATTCGGAATTCGGTCGTTATTATTGTTTAAATCGAAT